TTCGTAACACATAAAGAAAATATTCCAATGCATTAAATAATTTAATTAGTTTCAATAGAAATTAATAAAACTTGCACTAAATTTATTGAAATTGTCTCTAAATGAAATTAGCATCAGATCGAAATATTCAACCCATTAATTTATTTTTTATTTAATTACTAGTATTAGATGTCTATTGATTATTTTACGGTCGGATCAATGAATAACTTTAATATCATTGATTTTTATTTTCATCAAATTATACCCACTCGTGTTAAGGCAGTGCAAATTAAACAAAATACCCCTGCTTTCATCGCATCAATCTTGACCGTACCTATGTCATACTACATAAAAAAATAATTAAATTCATTCATAGAAGAATTGAGAACCATTTTTCCGTTTATATTATATAGTACTAATTTTTACCCTCGACATCGTCCGCATGGCCGGGATATATTTACTGACCGGGTTAAAAAGTAGTCTATCGCATACAGTGTATACCAAATTCCATAGTAATTGATTAAGCCATTAAGGTTCTATAATAAACAAAAACTTACTTTCACATTCACAATATTAGTTATTTTTATCACAATATTACCTAGTTACAAGAATTATTTATAAAAATTCAAACCTACATAACTACTTTAACTATTACTCGTACACTGTTTTGTCGCTTTCTATCAAATTGAGTTTTAGTGTAAATGAAAGAGACAACAGTTTCAATAGCTTAAAATACGTTCATGAAAGGTTTGATATTTTTATGAATAAAAGGAAAAGTGTTTCTTAGCCATAATCGTAGCACTTGCAACATAATATTAGATCGTAGATAATTCGTAGCGCCTTCGTAGCGTAAACGTTGCATGTATAGAAAAATTTTGCACTTGTTTGTTGTATTAATATTATTATCATGTCCTTGATCATTACACTTTAAAAATATTTTTTATTTATTATACTTTAAATTATAGTCTCTTACTAAAAGTAAACTTGTCTCTAACTATAAAGACCTCTTCCAGTCAACCTAACACAGTGGCGGTTAATAGTGACCTAGCAACTGAGTGTAATAGTACAAGAGAAACTTGAAAATTTGTACTAAAAATTTTACGTTAAAATGCATTTGTGAGAGGTTTGACATTTTTATGATTAAGGAAAATAGTGTTTCTCAGCCGCGATCGTGGCACTTACAACATAATGTTAGATTGTAGCTAATTCGTAGCGCCTTCGTAGCGTAAATGTTGCATGTAAAAGAATATTTTTAACTTCATATCTTATTTATTTTTACTATTAATTAATAATAATTAAACCTTAAAAATATTTTTTTTACTATATCTAAAATATTGTCTCTTAAAATATTGTCTCTAAAAGTAAAAGTTAACTTGTCTCTAACTAAATAAAACCTCTTCCAGTCAACCTAACACAGTGGCGGTTAATAGTGACCTAGCAACTGAGTGTAATAGTGCAAGACAGATTTTATAAATTATACTAAAATTACAATAACTACAAATTAAAACAAAACTCATGCACCATATATTAAAGTTCAATATTTAAGTAATCACATAGGTGATAATGTGAATTATTTATACGTTATACTTATTATGATGTCCGCCTATAGATTCGTTAATATTTATTAAATAAAAAAACATTCCTACCTATACTTATGCAAGTAAATTATTGGTTGTAAAATTAAATTAATATACAAAATAAGATCAATAATTAGTAATCTGAAACGCCTATTGTTTTATCTTCTGCTATACATGGCTTTTAAAAGTATGATTTTTTTTAATTTTTATTTTATCTATTTTATTATATCAAAAAGAAGGATTCTTCAAAAGGAAGTGTCTATTCAAATCTCAGTTACGTTGTATTTATATATATTTTTTTTATATTTGTTACTTCATAACTCCATCAATTATAAACCGATTTAGAAAATTCTTTTTTTTTTATGAAAGGACTTACAGTTTAGTCCCTTAGAAATTTTATCAATATTGGTTCAGTAAATGAGTTTTTAAATCACAATAACTGAACGTGCTTCAATTGAAGTCGATTTCTTTTTTGCGCAACTCGAATTTAATCTTGTTTAGACATCTTATTTTATTCATAAAAGTCATACTTCCTATTTTAATTATTCAAACGTCTTTTTCTTTTACGGTACGCTTTTAATTTCAAAAAAAGTTTATTTATTTATTATATGTCTTATATTTATTTATTTATTTTTGTTTAAATATTTTTTATTTAGATTAATATTCTAAAGGACCTGATTTAATTTAATTTTAGATTTTGTATTTTGTGCTAAATTTGAGCAAAAAATTGTATAATGCATCATTTTATATATTTTAAACTATTCTATTTAAGTGAATTTATTACTACACTTCTAATAAAAGGATATTCACGATTCCTTTTCTGTGGCCTAAAATCCATTTTCTGAACAACAGGAACATTGTAATTCTGTGTTGCATATAATAAATTACGTTTAATAACGCTGGTACAACTGGCGGGCGCCAGGCGTCGGGCACAGATTGCATTGATACTCTATTTGTCAATAATTGAGCTTATTGGCAACATTGCTTTATTGACAACGTGGCTTATTGGCCTTTATTGTATTAGGGCCGATTGAGACGACGGCGACGTGCAATGGTATGACGTTTTTAATGAGTCAATTGATTTTAATATTACATTTGTGTGTTCACGTGTTACAAAGTTTTAATAGAATCATGTGATACATTAAATATTTATATGTACCTGCGGTTGCATAGTTTTTATAATGTAAAGGGAAGTTTTAGTATAAACTAATTACTCAGTTTCTGCTTTACATGTGTAGATATGTCTCTAATTTTATGGAAAATAAAATACAGTCCATGTTATTCGCTTTGATGTAGCTATATATAGGTGAAAAAATTTTTAAAACCGGTTAAGCATTTTCAAGTTTATCCATTACAAGTATATTAATAATATGAATATATATTTATATATCCAATATATATTTATTACTTTATAAATCAATAAAACATGTATTACAAATAAGTATGTAATATTTATACACTTGACCGCGGTTTCGCCAGTTGTTTTTTCTTTGAAATTGACTGGACACGCAGTCGCGTGTCTAGATTAATAAAAAAAATTAATTTAACATAGTATCAACTACATACATTTTAATTTTTTATTTTCTTAATACTGGTAATAAAGGTTATCTATCTATCTATCTACATGATATGATCCATACAAAATTTATATATAATATGGTTACGTTTTAGATTTCATACAACTCATTACTTTTTTTTTTTACATGCCCTTCTTTTAATATACCTACTTACAGTCATTTGGCAATTTTAATTTTATTTGCAATTTATTGAAACTGCACGTTCTATTTAATTATGACAATTTAGTTTATACACTTTTAAATAAATATAATTTCTCTTTTTGTTTAAATTCGATTTGATTTTGATGATAATTTCAATTTGTAAATTTATCAAAATTATCAATCAGTTACAATAAATTTATTCTACACTTAATTTATTCAGCAAACATTGTTACACTTACAAAGAAAGATCGTACAGAGTAATATAACATGTACAGAAGGTAAAGGTGTTAAGTAATATTTGCCGAATTGGTCCCCGCTCAGCGTAATGCTGCAGCCGAGGAGCTACAGCGCTGATTTTCAGCACGAGCCCTTCGAGTAGGATTTAATATTATTTAAATTAATATGGAGAATACTTAAATATTTATTATATTGTTTTTTTTTAACGGATTTCAAAAAAATTAGGTTATATGTTCCATTACCATATATATTTTTTATATATATCCACCGATTTCTCCGTAAATCGTGGACCGATTTCAATTTTTTTTTTATTTGAAAGAGTATACTCCTGAAATGGTCCCGTCGTCACCAAGTTAGGATCTAAGGATGGGATCCCAAAGAAATCTAGAGCAACCTTCAAATTTATAGGCACATTACTATAGGGTGTTTCATATTTTTTCAAAACTTATTTTATATAGAATCATCAGGTAATCGGTAAAATATTCGAAACTTGCCCAATTGCTGCGACAAATTTAGTTTAACGTATCTACTAAAACAATTTCGTTTTGTATTTTATATACACATAAAGATTTTAGTTTGTTGATTTATCGAATTTACTAATCAGTTGTGACAACTTTAATTAAATTTAATTTACACACTGAAAATATCGGTTGTTTTTTTATACTGCAACTATTCGATACTTACACATTTAATTTGCGAACTCATCAAAATACTGCACTGTTTTAAATAAATATTTCGTATCGAAATTGTTAGTAAAGCTGCCATATAGGCAGCTTTACTAACAATTTCGATACGAATATACGAACTTTAATTTACATTTTTAAATCAATATTGTTTCCTTTTTTATGTAGAGTCACTAATTATGGAAATTTCAAAGAAAGCGCTGCTACTAAGTAAAATAAAAAATAAATAAAAAAATTACATTAGTATTTATTTTTAAAAACCTCTATTATAATTGTACAAATTAAAATGTTCTTATTTTTTTAAATAAGTACTCACTTAGTTTACCTTAATATATAAATAAATTAGGTAAGTATCCTTAGGTAAGTATTTTTTAATATAAAATATATCGTAGAAAATTATGTAGAATTATATAATAATTAATGTATACATAATATATGAACAAAATATATGAACCCTATCGCCTTAAACAAGTTATTTTGTCAATTACTAATAAATTAAAATTTATATTAAGTTAAAAAACTTTTTGAATTACTTACGAATATTTTTGTCTGCAAATACGTAGACATTAACGTGATATTAACACTCATAATTATGTACTTATCCTGACATTCATATTTTTTTTTTCTTATTTGTCTATTTAAAGTGAATTACTAGTACGAAAAATAAAATAATTAATTTATTCGGCAATTTTAAATGATTGATATAAATATATAGAAAGTTAATAAAGCCAGTGGAAAAATTCAAAACTTGCTTACTACGTTTAAATTTATGAAATAAGTAGTAAAACAGCATTCTAAATTATTACCTTATTAGCGTCCGAAAATATTTTGTTAATTTTTGGGCGGGAACTTTTCCCGCCAAACTCCGCGTACAAGAAAGCGCGGTCACCGCGCTGTCACTGTCATTCCGTTCGGAAACACGCGCGAGCACTCACGAGTCGCGGCACCGAGCGACTGGCGAACGCCGCACTCGCCACGAACACCGAACTGCGAGTAATCGTTCAGAAACCGCCCTCGGCAAACAAAACCCCACCCGCTATAAAGAGCATTTTAGCACGCGCGCCTCCCCCGCTCCCGCGCCCTGATTTAATAGCGAACGCGGGCACTGATTCACTTAGCCGAACGCAACTACCGACTCCCTCTCTCTTCCTCCTGCTCAAATGGTAATCCACTCTGGATTCGCGCTCTCTGTCGTGCGCGTTCGAAAAACTTGAGGCGGAAAGAGATGGCGCCGCGGTCGCGGACACTTCTTTCTTTCAACTCGATTTGCATGCGAGCGGGGTCGCTCCGCAAACTTTATGTCCTCGTTTCGTAAATTATTTATTCGTTTGGAAATACTTTTAACGGCATGTTCGGGCTGAAAAAGATTGCTTTAAAACGAGTTGAATTAAGTGACCGGCCGCCAGCCGGGTAGATTACCGCGCGGGATGAGACAATGCTAATCAAATTTAGGTTTGTTCTTTGATTATTTTTGAATAAGGAAGGAGCACTTTAATGCATTCTTAAATTGATTCTACACTTGATCATACAAATGCCATAGACATTTAGATTGTCTATCTATGCCATATCTATCCAATTATTATACATTACGAAAGTTTTATGAGCAAAAATTATTATTATAACTCTACATTGAAGAAATAGGTACTTATGATAGATTTAGAGGTGACAATTATGTTTTATTTTACCTATTTGATTTTATTCGAGTAACAAACGACTCAATTAATATAAAATATTACATAATAAGTAGTTAATAACCAACAAAGTTTCCATTAATAACAAATGGAATAAACACTACCCAAGTTTCTATATACCTACAGCTGAAAAAAAAGCTATTATATTTCCATATTATATTATATATTCCTATTATATTATATTACAGTGTATCTTCTATATTTGTTCCTTTTATAATTTTAATAAAAATAAATAGGTATTATTAGTGTTGATCTCTACAATTTAAATCAAAACATAAACTAAGTAAACAAAATAAATAGGCAAACTAAATAACCTATTGCTAGGTGATTATTAAAACTATTTATTTTAAGATTAATTTTAAATTGTTATTTGTATTGTACTCTGTAAATAAATACAGAAACAGGAGAAACAATAATTTAAAATAAAGTTGATTAAAATCAAAGTTGTATATATCTATTAATCTCTACCTTTTTGGACGCAGTTTTTAGAAAATAATTTTCATTAATTATAAATACAGATAAACATATTGAGACTTCAAAATTCGCCTGTATTTATATTTTATCTTTTTTTATTATGATATCTTCTTTAAAACCGTAAAACTGATTTTCTTAATTCAAAATGGCTAATAAAATTAGTGGGAAGGATTTTAAATTATAGATCCCATATTCAAGTATCTCTGGTCTTTCCAAACCCAATGATAAACTGACAGAAACAACAAATACCATACAAATTAATAACTCACGCCTTTAAAATTGAAATAACTCACTATTAATAATAACAAAACTATTTTACTTAAAATATTTAATTCTAAGATTTCGTGTTTTTTATTAAAAATAAAATATCACAAAATTCCAAAATCAATCAACTTTAAATTATACTCAAAATGCACAAAATACCTATGGTGGAACAATTTTAATGATTAAATAATATTGTAATAAACTCATTAATTTATTTCTAAATAAAAAAGGTTGCCCTACTCTCTCTTGCTAGCTGTGCCCAACAGAGTCCATAATTACAGTATCAACCATATTATGAAATGCAATAAGAAATAAATAAATACATTTTATCAATTTCCCAAAAATCAAGATATTCGGATTGTGTCCATTCAATTCTAAAACTGCAATACAAGTATCTTAAGTAGATCCAAATAATTATTGTGATTGTAAATATCTACATAAATCGCATTATTTACCTTTTACCTCACAAGTACAGCTATCAGACCAGTTCGAGAACACGGTCCCAAATTCCCAGCACAGTTAACCTATCCAATTAGCCATCATTGTATTATCTGGCGCAGAAATAAACTTCTAATGGCGTTCGTGACCCCTTTGCCAACTCTTGCTTTAGTGGTGCTCGATTACTGGACCTCTTACCATTGGTTTCATTTATTTGTCTTCAAAAAAATTTGTTGTAAATTTTAAGTAGTTTATACTTTTTATACCACTGAGGTGGCATACCAGCATACGGTCCACCTGACAGTAGATAAGCAGTTGCTATAGCTTATGAAGGCCTGCAATACAAAGGTTGCCAATTTTGAAGCAATCTCTTTAACCCTTTTTTTAAAGAATCCCATGCTGTCTCTGTATGTATGTATGTAGTATTTTATAGGATTGAAGTAAAAGTACTCGAATAGAATTATTACCTTACCGTACTTTTGTCGAAAAAAACATCAAGTATATGTTTTTTTTATTACATATGCTGTATAATTGAATATCAGCCAAAAGGAAAGTTTTAACGACTCACATTATGAAATGACTTATAGATATGAACGGTACTTACCATGGATATACACTATGATATGTGATAAGCACCCTAAGTGCCAATAGAATAGGGGTGGAAATATACAGCAATATTTATAAAAAATATAGATTTTAAAAAAAATATAGCAATATCTGTGTAGTTAATAGATATTGTTATATATTATTAGATATATAAATATTAATATATAGTTACAATATCTATATACCCACTGGTCCAATTACAAATATGTTAAAAGACTGTTATTCAAAAAATAATATTTGGATAACAGACTTTTGACATATTCGAAATAGATATCCGACCGATATGGGCGATATCGAAATGGGTGATGACCTTTTTCACCATAAATATCTACAGAAGCCCAATATATAAATATCGAATCGGTATCCATACTTTAGAGTTTCTATCGCCAATTGCTTGCATGTAATATTTCAATTCGTAATCGCTTTTTGCTTGCTTGCAAATTTAAAACTCCATCAATATTTAATTTTAAATAATTATAGCTATAAAATCAAGATCTGGTCCTTATTTGAGATGGAATGGAACCAACTCACAGCAACAGTATTTCCTAACAAACACGAAATTGAAACGCTCAAGATGAGAGCATATTCTTTTTAAAAGAAACAACCCACCTGCAATTTCTCTGATGTTGCAAGTGCCTATGAACATTGGTAATCCCTATTGGGTACGCCGCATGCTCATTTGCTCCCTATATTAATAGAAAAAGAAATTAATAGGATATGTGTTTGACTCTATTCATCATTCTTTCTATTAGTCTTTTACTTATTTGTTATACTTATAAATAATGGGTTACGAACTTAAATATATACCTATTCTCTTATGTCACCGTCATCGGCGTTCCCGAAACCGTGTTATCAAACTACACGTTACTCCTTAAGATTACATTGATAAGTCTCTATTCTCTAATCATATCATATTCTGGGTCATCAAAATACGATATCTATGTATATAAGTAATAGCACGTTCATATTAATATCAGAAGCAAATTAGGCACTAGTCTAATGAAAATCTGGTGTAACTATTGCATGTTATCTTCTCTTCTCTATATATGAGTATTAATTTTAAAGATCTCACAAATAATATTGATCACTTTCTATAATCTCGTAATAATCCTTAAAACTATACTTAAAATGCTACTTTTCAACTGATTTCACGAAGAAGTAAATTTCAATTCAAAAAATTCTCAATTAGATTGAATTTTTTTTATGTTTGATACCTCATAACTCCATCAATTGTAAATCAATTTGAAAAAATATTTTTTTTTATCTGAAAGGATATACCTAAACACATATTGCTCCCATAGATTTTAATAAATTTCGTAGTTTAGTTTTTAATTTTTTTTTTTTTTATTTTGCCACAATTGATTTTTTTTTTTATGGGACACAACCATAATTATATTACGATAATATAAGTATAAACCTAATGTAACTGGGAAACAATTAAAACTATGCACGTCACGTAAACTGAATTTATTTTTAATACGTAAAGAGAAAAAGTGTGAAAAAAATGAAATAGAATATATAAAAAGCTAACTAACTAAGGTGACAGTATCACAAAGAAATTGCAAAATATTTGCACACGGGGACAATACAATCTTTTTAAAGCGCTGATTTTTTTTTATCATTCTTGCTTAAAGACTACATCGAAAGTTTTAAACATAACAACACATTGTTAATTTAAAGCTGAAAGAGATGGGTCAGGCCGTTACATGTTCATATGCCCTCCATATAAGTTAACATAAACTACACTATCAGTACTAAACTACACTTTCTGAGGAAGGCCTATGTTCAATTGACGGCTGATATGATGATGATGATGATGATATCTATCAGTAGATTTGCAAATAATATCAAATGTAATCTCCGTTCCATATTACTTATTACTCCATGTTCATGCACAAAATTGAATAAGATTATTCTTTAACAATTTTTACTTTTAAACTCGATACAATCTCTGCTTTCACGCTGCTGGATTCGTATCGAAAACTAAAGGTAATGGTTGTTTTCCTATAACTCACTTATTAGCTAATCTACTAATTTACTCCGATACTCGTTACAAGAAAACCTAATTACCAGTTTCCGAAGATATGCGATATGTTACTGATCAGATATAATTACCTAATACAGATTACAGAACAGGTAACTGAAATATTGAAATACCGAACGTGGTTTGAATTGAGTTCGAAAAAACAAAACTAAACCTACCAACCTATAAAATATTTATAAGTTTAAGTAGATTGTAATTATCTTTAGGCAAAGAAGCATTTACATAAAACCTTCAAAATTTATAACGAAACAATAAGAAGCTGTTATTATCAAATATTCTCGGACAATCCAAAATAAGCATCTTAATACTTTATAAGCAATCGTTTCAGCGTCTGATTCTTTAATCAGAGCGCTGATTCAAAATTTACTTGTCTTGTGTATTCCGCGACCATGTTAATAATACAGTTGCATTCGTGATAAGTCAAATGAATCGCAACCTTGTGTCTCGGGGAAAAGTTTTGACGGAGATTCTGGATGACAATCTTAGTGGTAAACAAATCTTGGAAGAGGTGTAAGTGACAATAAAACGGGAGCTTAGCTCTCGGGGCCGTCTTCAAGTGGAACGGTGGCGCTGGAGGGTGCGGGGCCGCCGCGGGCACGAGGGACGAGGAAGGGGGAGGAGCGTGCAGCTATAGCCGTCTCACTCTCGTGGGCCGCGAGTCGCGCTCATCCGTTTTATTTCTTATTTGTCCGCCGCGCGCCTTCTCCGCTCGCTACATAATTCATTTTGAGCGGGTACGTTTAAAAAATTGGCTG